CATCCCTCCTCTTAGGCGATTTCAATCTTTCCAACTTCGAACGTTATTACAGATGAAAATTCATTGATAGTATTGAAATCATCGCTAGTGGATTCAATCAATCAACAAGGACTGCTGTTCTTCGTGTTAGCAAATATCCTGACGGGCTTAGTAAATAAATGTTTAAACACATCGACAGTAAAAAATCACTATCATGCAACTGCTATAGTAACAGTCTACATGTGTACTTGTGCTAGCGCTGTTTATCTTTTCACCAAACTGCGAGGAAAAATAAATTATGGAAATTCTTTGTCTCGTACTGGATCCTGTCGCAACAACAACTTTCTTCTCTGTCCAATTATTTCAGTTCGAAATGAAGAATTGAGAGTTAAACCATAAAATTCTAAAAACCTTGATGAACTTGCAGTTCGATATTGGAAGCAATTTGCACCTGACTTCTTTGTGAAAATGTAAGGAACTGCACGGAATAACAACAAATTTAAATTTATTTAACAAGAAGTTGTCCTAATGTATCATCCACATTCGCGAGTATTCTTAAAATCTTTGAATGTTTTCATTTGAAAAGTTATTGTTTAATTCATTCAACGCAAAGGAATTATGTACATAAATATGGAAACTCTTTTGCAAAGATTTAATCAGAAATCCTGACAATTTAGAGAATTTTTAGGCAAACCTTACTCAGTTATGAGTCAAATAACGTGGTGTAGCACTAAATTTGGCATAACCTTTGATCACTTTATTGACTGCTTCCAAGAAATCCTTCTCTGTAGCAAGCTTTCTTCGTGCACGTATTGCGAACATACCGGCTTCAGTGCAAACACTCCTAATTTCAGCACCTGCAGAAATATTTTTGATATCAATGCTGTATTATTCAGTAGCTACGCGGCTGTATTCCATAAATATTTAAGTTTTTTCTTGTGACTAAAAAATTTGCTCTTACGGCTGAAAATTCAAATACTGCTGGTTACAACCTTAAATGAACCTATGGAGAAAGTTCATATCAATTTGTAGGCTATTGAGCCAGTAACATACGACAGGTTTTCATGGCCTGTACGGTTTGAATATCATATTATGCGTTGATAACTCATTTCTTGCCACTATCAAGCTCATTATTGAAAAGTTAGATTTATTACAATCAAGTTTATCAGATTTCTTCTGGACCTTTTAATTAGTTTTTCAACTTTGCCAATAAACCAGCTGCTGAGCTCGTAACATAAATAGATCTCAGAATTTGGAACTCCTGAGTATCGTAAACAACTACACTATTTCTCTCAGAAATGTTATCAATATAAAAGACTCACCGGTACTATTAGGGCAAAGTCGTGCTAGTAAATCATATCGAATATCTCTTTCAACACTCATCTGTTTGGCATGAATTTTGAGGATGTGAGTGCGACCTGCTAGATCGGGTAAAGCGAATTCTATTTTGCGATCCAAACGACCAGGTCGAACTAGTGCTGGATCAAGCGTATCAGGTCGATTAGTTGCCATGAGTACCTATACAAAAAAGGTTTCTCTAATTATGAGATGTGTGAACAGATAAAATAAGAAACAGCGATTTCAAAAAATACTTTAATATTTCCGCGTGGATCAAAGCCATCCAGCTGATTAATTAGTTCAAGCATGGTGCGTTGCACTTCATTATCGCCACCCATTCCATCATCAAATCTTGCACCACCCACAGCATCTATCTCATCGAAGAATATTAGACAGGCCTACAAAGATTTTTGAAATACAACTTAATTCGGAGTTATGAAAAAAATAAGTTGACAATGGAAGCGAGTGGAGCTTTTGAAAAGCCTAAAAACAAAGATCAAACTAACTTTTTTACTGCGAGCCATTTCGAATAGTTCTCGCACCATTCGAGCACCCTCGCCCACATACTTTTGCACCAATTCAGAGCCGATAACTCTAATAAAGCAAGCATCTGTACGATTGGCAACAGCACGAGCACAAAGAGTTTTACCGGTACCAGGAGGTCCGTATAACAGAACACCCTTTGGTGGTTCGATACCCAAATTGACAAAACGTTCTGGCTAAAACATGACACAATTTGCAAGGACATTATTTAAAAAGTAAAATAACTGAAGTAATCTTCTGAGTCACGAAAATTCAATATTAATACAAGAAACCTACATGCAGCAAAGGAGTTTCGACCACTTCTCTCAGTTTTTCTATTTGCTCTTTGCAACCTCCTACATCGGCGTAAGTGACGTCTGGCTTCTCTTCAACCTATATAGTTCAAATGGAATTTGCGACTAATAAAATTCGCGACAAAAAAAATTCGATTACTACTTATTTTATTAAAAATCGATAATGAAATCATGCAAAATGGTGTTTATATCGATTTATGTTTAAAATAAAGAATTCCACAAACCTGCATCATCGTAACTGATGGATCAATTTTTGCGGGTAATGGTAAATGAATCTGATATTTGTTACGATCCACACCAACTCGCATGCCTTCTTCAATATCAGTTGGAGCGACGGTATCTGCGAGATCTACCACAAACTTGGCAAACTGTTTGACATTTATTAAATAACGCGGCTCATGTCCCTCTGATGTTATTATTTTTGTACATCGTGCAACCTGCAAAACCAATTTCCTATCAAATTTTTAGGGATATATTTTTAATATATCTCTTTTAATATAGTTTTAATATAAAAATAACTCTAAGCTCAATTCCTGTATGGTATCACTTGCTCATGATTTAATTTAGAAATTATCTTTGTTTAACTTTGGACAGAATTTATAACTATTCTTGTTCCGATAACAAGTCAGCTTAGTCCGCTGTCTTAATCTGAAAATTTTAAGCTATTATCATTAAATTCCAACTGAAAAGTCGATTAATCAAATACTGTGAGAAATTGTAATCGAAATAAACATACCTGGAGGGGCTGTTCACTCTGCATTGCTTGCTTATCGGCAGCTATGTCCCACAAAGCTGGTGGTGCAAGTCCAGTATCACTTTCTTTCACACCAGATAACTCATTCACCTACACTGGGAAGACATGTAAGATGACAATTGAAACTATATATAAAAAGTTTGAAACTGATAAACATTAAAATTTCCAGCAACTCCTAGAAATACAAATAATCCACAATAAAACTGTGAAAGTGAAAGCATAGAATTCATGGCATCAACAAGAAAATGAAAAATAAATTACACAAAAGTCAAATTAGCACTATTTCTGCAAGCGGTAGTAAGTACCTTTTTAACACATTCTTCGATATCAGACTCGAGCTGTTTCAACTGCTCTGCATAAGCACCCTGTCCATAGCGTTTCAATACTACGATATCGTTCTCATCCAAGGCTAAAGAATACCAATATTGATCTTATCATTACAATCTTTTCCAAAGCCTCTTTTCCCTTTCTTGTTTTGGATTAATAAATCCAGGAACTTGAAGATCGTTAATAGTAGAAGGATTATTGAGCCAATTCCACTTCTTTTCAAAGTGCTTTATTTTCGGGAAGACACATTTGGTAAACTAATTTTAGCTTATCAATACTGTCACATTTAATAAATGCATGAAAAACAAACATTGAAAGGGTTTGTCGTCATCTGTCACAGCCTCTTTCTTGGTCTTGCGCATATCATTACCAAGATAATCTGGCATCTCGTATAAACTATATCTAAAATTAACACGTAATCAGGGAGAGAGGTGAATCATTATGCCTACGATTTGACAAGAATGACTCTACAAAAAACACATCCGATTTTTCCAGAGTTCACGTGAACCATTCCAACTGTCCTTTCCTTCCTTCCCCTTCCGGCCGCAACGCGAAATACCAACCGATTTGAGAGCTGAAAATGTAAACGGACGTAAAGAGAAACGGATTTGATGGTTGTTGAGTATGTGATAAGTGTGAAAGGCAGATATTAGATGGTACTGATTTACCATCACCCATCGTGTGAATGATATACTTAACATGTCAGGCATGACACACTCATCATGTCAGGTATGACATATCCATCACATCACATATTACCGCAGGGTTCAGAGAAGAAGCCTACAGTGATTTAAAATAACTAATTTAATAATAAAAATTCGGAAATACTCTAAAGAAAGTGGTAAGCAGAATGCAATCGAACACTGCCAAAAATTATTGAAATGCAATCCAAAAAAAAAAAATTATAATAGTGCTAATAATAGTTAATGTCGGAAGTGCGATATCTGAGAGTAGAAATGAGAAGTTAGCGATACCTTCAGTCTTACAAGTCTTTCCCTCATCTTCTCTTCAAATGTATATGTTATAAGTAAGTTGTTGGATCCCTGAAGAATTCTTTTTTCAATCTCAAGCAATTCTTGCAATGTGTATGCGTTAGTTTGCACTTTGAATGCATGGACGTTATTGCATGTGATGGAAAATGGATGGAAATGGCGAAGTGGATGAGACAGGGAGATGCAGGTCGAAAATGCAATCAGACATCCTGACAGGCCTTACATAACGCAAGGCCTTAACTGAATGCATATGTATCTTTTCTTTCGGTCACTCCAAATAAGTGAGGAAGGGAATGAGCGCAGAAGGAAGAGAGACGGACATTCGTCTCTTCATTTCATGGTCTGTTATGAGTCATCGAGTTTACACAGGCTTGAAAGAGGCCTTCCATCCTGAAGAAAACATGAACTGAAAAATCGATTTCATGAATAAATGCGGGTATAACTGAGAGAGAGATAAAATGGTTGTTGGAGAGCTCCGTGCTCCTCCATCTTCCCCTTTTAGCTCGATGATGAATGTTTTGTTGAAGCATTCCTTCCCATATCTCTCCATCTCTCCTTCGCATAAATAGCAATCAGTAAACTTTTCAGGACTATTTATTTGCT